GCAAGTCTCCCTGCCCCTGGGCTGGTCCAGCTGGTTTTCCTTACCTCCCAGGCTTTATGCTTTCCTGGGCTCCAAGTTAGCCATGCAGGTGGCAGTGGGCAGAGCCATAATGGCTGCAAGTCTCCTGACTGGGCTGCTGCATTGGGGTGGTGGTGGTGGGGTAAAGGGGTGGGGTTGGGGAGGGGTCAGGGAGCACCAGAAGGGCTGTGAGCCTCCCAGCTGCACTGGACCTCAGTCATCCCTCCCTACCTCTAGGGCTCTATGTACCAACTGAGCTGTCTTTCCCCACCACTTGGGCTCCACTCACAGAGCTGAGTTGTTTATCTTTACTTCCAGGGCTTTACTGGCATGTTTTCGAGCGTAGATGGTTTTGTGGGTAGTGGGCAGAGGAGCAGCAAGCTCCCAACCTAAGGCATTTCCTAACGCCTGGGTGCTGCTGGATATGAGCACTCCTATCGGAGCTCCCCAGTCACTGACTTTTCCTCAGTTATCTTCCATCTAGTGAGTCCAGGGTGCCCTCATTCAGGCTGAAACTCACAGTAGGTTAGTCTATGGTCCGTTTGGAGTCTTATCTGTGCTGTCTGAGCCTGGAGGAAGTGAGTTCAGTGTTCTCACTCTACCGCCATCTTGCCAGACCTCTACTGATAGCCTTTATACTGGTGTCTCAAAACTGTTTTTCTAATACAATTACGGCTCTGTAAACATACTCATTTAAATTAGATGTCAACTTCAACCAAGAACATTTAACATAACACACAACCTTCAGACTTTTGTTCTTAGGAATATCCTGTGTAGCTTTTGCGGCTACTTTCTGAGTAATCAAGCTCTGCACATGTCATGGTTTTCCTGGAAAAACTATTGACTGAAAGTGACACAGCATCACTCTCTAGTCACCTTAAGAAACCAAACTGCTTAGCAACAACGATTCTCCATGTTATTTCTCCTTTGGCTCTAGCTAGTCATCTGCAGATGATTTCAAAGGGACAGACTTCCCTTCATGGCAGAACTGAGACCTTTCGCTCAATGCTGAATGAAATATCCTATCGATGCCGCTCAGAAGCCCAACACATGCGGCTCACTCTGTCTCCTCATTCTGCCCAACTTTCTCCTGCTGGTCAAAAAGAAAAAAGCTCTGTCATCCAGCT